TATGTTGCAACTAATTTTAGCTTATGTTGCAACATTTTGTAAATTTGAAATCAATTGCTGTACCATCTTTAATTGCAGATAAATTAATGACAAACTGAATAGTTTTAAGACTTTTTAGTATGTTTTATACAAAGTGAAGATGGATCAGAGTATAAGGAATATCTTACTAAACAGAGGGTTAGGTTTTGGCATGACTTTGGAACTTGGAATATGATATGACTAATTCTATTTATTCATATTAGATTCAATTTCAAGGGTTGTATTTAAACCATTACCACATATAACAATATAAATAATATTCAATTTATATTTTTTAAGATTATTTATCAGTTGAAACAATCAATTGCTTTTCAGATAATTCATTTTTCCATTTACTTCACAAATATTTCCTTGCTTTGAAGCAATAAATATCCTTGATTTTTCCAATTGAAAATAATATTTCCCGGTTCAATGTATTGCATAATCCATTCAATACAAATTAATATAATAGGTAAATGGTGTTAAAATGAATCTTTACTTCCTTAATTTCATCGGCATTACACTCAAAAAGTTGATTGTTTATTATATGTATCAGTACATATAACTTTTTTTTTAAGATTATTTCCAAATATCAAACTCTGTAGTGGCAAACATTGTTTTTGGTATCAAGAGTTTTCATTAAAAAATACTTCAACGCTTCCAATGATAACAGATTATTTTCATTCACTTTCAATTTATTCTTAAATACCCAGACAATCAAAATCTGACATTTCATTATCGACCCTTGAGAAGGATTTCTTAACGGATTGTGATAAGAGGTTTTGGAAATATTTGGTCCACCTTTAAAAACTTCTTGATACGTTCAATAACGATAATATGTTGCTGAAGAACTTTTAATTTCAAATGAATGGAATCAACTAATCATTAAATTTTTCTCATTAACTTTGGAGGTAAATATTATATTACTAAATGAAAATTTTTTATTACTTCCTAATTTAATTTGGTGAAAATAAAAACGTCAGAAAGAATTGCTAAAATAGCTTTACATGCAGATAATTTCTTTCATTTTAAAGTAATTGATTAATATCATCTGCAAAAGATATTCCTCACTCAAAAATGATTTTGACTCATTTATAAAAAGCCTATGAATAGATTTGTTCGACTAAAAAAGATTTATTAATTGATATGCTTAGTTAAGTTATCAAACGTCTTCATAAAATACCACAAAATAAAACGTGATCGAGATAAAAGCTAATCGTGACTACAAACTCTATATACGGTGAATTCAATTTTGTCTAACAAACATTTTGCATTAATAATCCATTGATTAGGTACATCGCTTAAGTGCATATATTTTTCAGTAATGTTTCAGGTAAATGTGGTGATTAGTGAAAGTTTCTATGCACTTAGGACACTTAACATTACTGATAAACTTGCTGTAACGGTAATATTTCATAAGATTTAATATAAAAATCATCAATAATAATTAGTCGAAATAGATTGTGCCGCTTCATACTTTTCCATTCATGTGAGTAATGACGTACAGTATTGAATATGCTACTGCGTGCGACATGTGTCTTCGGTGATGAGATTATAAATAATTACGTCTTTCTGATGAATATAAAAAATATATTTTTAGAGAAAGTATATCATATCAATAAAATATATATATATATATAAATAATGAAACGTAAAATATATTTATCATATTTTCACCTTCGCTTTTCATAATTGGTAACAAAAATGCCCGTTCTTAATTCCTTAAAAAAATTGATCAAGAAAAAATCTCCTACAGATTATTGATGCATTTTTTGTTTTTGTTTTTTTTGTCATAACCTTGCTCATTTTAGGATTATAATTTTATTTTTTTTCTTCTTGACAGATACTGAAATTTTCAACTCAAATTCTGAAACAATATTACATCATTCATATTTTAATGTTTCCTTCTAATTTTTTTTTTATTAGTACTTAGAGCTCAACAAGGATGTATTCAGTTTCCACCTGCTTGCAAGTGGACCGGATTGCGCCTTCTCCTTTATCGATGCGGGAGGACTTTGTGGACGCCAGATTCTAGCCAACGCAATTAGTGCACTTAGTACTTATGTTAATAGCGCTAATGGGAATTGGGCAAAGCATGCTGTTGGGTTCCGGACATCGGACGAATCTATCACCTAGAAGGGGACAATTCCAAATCACTGAACATATGTGTGTGTTCAATAATTGATGGGGGTTTTTTTTAAATTTATTCCGAAACTTAATATAATGCATGTAAAAGACAATGTTAACTCCTGAACGACATGTATTTGCTATTTCAAATGTCAGTAATATGTCGTGGTAAACCTGCAACGTCTTTAAAAGAGAATTAATTAATATCATGTTTCATCTTTTGTACAAGCACGACTTATACCAACAATATCAGCTTCTTGAAACGCGTCATTTCCGATAATTGACGTTGGAACTTGACCACACGACACGACAACACGATTAAGGGTATATCATATAACAAAGCATCTTTCAAAGGAGTAACAACATTTGTCGCTCCAACCAAATAATACCTGGTTTACCACTAACTCTCGCATAACCTTCCGTCATGTGTCCAGTTCCTTGTTCATGTCTTGGGAGAATTAAGTTAAAATGTTTGGAGTATATATAGCATCAAATACGGGGAGGATTGCACTTTCTGGATATCCAAACACTTGTTACACGTCATGACGCAACACCTTCTTATGAAATATTTGACCCAATAGACCCACAAAAGAACTATTATATTCTGTATTTTAACTTGCAATTGATGGTGATGGAGGAATCCATGATGATGGCCGTGGTGTGTGGTGAAACAGATTGTGGTAGACTATAAAAATAAAGTGGCAAAAAAAAAAGAAAAAAGTATTTATTCATAATGTGCAATCTAAAGTATTTTTTCAATATCTTTCGTATAAAGAAACTTACCCAACAACATTAGCCTTCCATCGGCGTTTGTGATTATTAACAAGAAAGTAAACGTTTGCATTGTATGAATTTTATTTTTGTTCTTTTATCAACGTTGCGAAAAAGTCCTTAATATATATATAAAAAAAAAATTTATTACCTAATTGTGTAACTTTGAAATAAAATCTAAAAAATGAGACAGGAAGTTTGCGTTAGCAATTAATACTTTAAAGTTCTAGACAGAAAAAAAAAATTATGGTAGCAGTATTATTTATTTCATAAATTTCTGTAAATATTTTTCCAACAATGATTTTTTTAAAAAATGATTTAATAAAAAGGTTACCCTATAAAAGGCCATTAATGATGAATTATTTTGTTAAATATTTGTAACATTTGTCCTTTGCATGTGAAAACTATATTTATTATAATTTTATAAAACATTGAGGAATAGCTCATATTAACAATCCGTTATAAAGAGGGTCATCAACAACAATTATTATTATGCCATTAACTCGATCCCAATAAATTATTGTAAATAAAGTTTTTATTCAGTTATAAAATGTTAAATATAAAAAAAAAAAAGATTTGTTTCATTAGGTTTCAACTTTGGAAACCATTAATTCAACGCGTTGATCCGGTTTACCAATTCTATCTCTATCAATTTGTATTCCCTCGACTGGACGAAATACAAAATTTCTAATTAGCATACTTAATAATATCTTAAATTCATTTAAGGCTAATTTGTTACCAATGCAAGATCTGGTACCAGTATGGAAAGGTAAGTAATTATAATTGTTTACTTTTTTAATTAAAGAAGGATCTAACCATCTTTTTGGATCGAAATTTTCAGCTGTAGGACCCCAAATTGATGGTAACCTTTGAAGTGCTGCAATTGGGATCATCAATGGTGTATTCTATTAAAATAATTAATTATTTTATTAATAAATTTTCTTTTTTTAAAAAAAAAAATCTAATATATTACATAATAAATACATACCTTTGGAATAAAATGACCACCAATGAATACATCTTTATCATTTACTCGTTGAATAGCCGGAGCTGAAAATAAAGATAAAATTCACAAAGTTAATACATAATATTAAAACGTAAATAAAAAATTTCAACTCATACCTGGAGGTGTTAATCTTAACGTTTCCTTAATAACACAATTTAAGTATTCCAAAGAATTGATTTCATCAAAAGTGGGATTAAATTTTGACTTTTCTGGAAAGGCTCTAACTAATTCTTCCCGCAATAAATCTTGTTCATGTGGTTGTTGTGCAAGTAGATATAGTGCCCAACTTGTTGAAATGCTAGTGGTTATATGTCCGGCTAATAAAAATGTCATAATCTACTGTTAATTAACCAAAAGAGAAAAAAATTTTAATTAATTTAAAAGAATTTTTTTCTCCCATTAAAAAAAAAAGAATTTACATTAAATACCTGAGACTTTAGTTCATCATCGGTCATTTTTTCTTCGATAGGCAAAGTTTTGTTAAGCTTAATTAATAAAGATAATAAATCATTTCCATCCAACTTGTTATTTTTGTCGTCATTATATTTTTCTTTCATCAACTTTATTGATTCACGATCAATAACCTCTTTCGATTTATTAAATCTTTTATTAATTTCGATTGGAATTTTCCTTATAAATGGTATGTAACCAGCTACAATACTAATGAAAATGGATGAAATGCTTGGGGAAACACTAAAAAGTAATTCATAAGCTTCGGCTAATTCACTTGGGGACGTTAGCGAATTAAACTCATGATTAAACCCTAAAAAGATTTAATGGTTAGAACTTTATTTAATATGTTAAATGTGTATATTTAATTAACATTTTCCCTCACCAACCAAGCCAATGATATCCAAAGTAGCATTTGTGAGGTAGTGAGTAAGAACAACTTTTGTTTCTCCTTCATTTACTTCGCCTTCTATCAAGCCCGTTAATTTCGAAGCCGCATGAATGAAAGTTGGAATCATATTCTAAATTGTATCAAGAAGATTATTTTTATATTTTTGGTCAGTTTTTTTTTTTGAATAATAAATGACTAGAGTGAGAATGAATATTACATACTTTAATGTGATTATGGGTGAAAGCAGGATTCATCATTTTTCTCTGTCTCTTGTGGGTATCTCCTTCTGCAATAATAAGTCCTTCACCAAAAATAGCCTTACCATCACCAAATAACATTTGTTGTTTTGGATAATCATATACTTGATTTAAAGTAATTTCTTGTATAATTTTTGTATCTGTAACTAAAATGTTTGGCTGATTAAATATTCCATGAAATTTTACAAAGTTTCCGTATTTTTTTATCCATCCAAGCTGTGGTTCACCAGACTAAAAAAAAAGGATTAATTTCAATAATACAAAGGGCATAATCAACATTTATTAAAAAATATTAACCCCTTTCGTGATAAAACTTTGAAAATTTCCGAATAGAAGATTATCGGAAGGTGGTCCGGGAAGTTTTCTCAGAGGAGAGATATAATATGGCGAAATATATAATATATAAGTAACCCAACCTATAAGTCCAAATACAAAAGAAACGACAAAGTAACTCAAGTCAATCATTTTTTTTTTGGTTAATATGCAAATATAATTAAATCAAATAAGAAAGAAAAATTGAACCAAGATTTATATATTATTTGATATGGACGGTCGGCAGATTTATTCTTCCGATCTATTCTTAAATAAGCGATGCGGAAAATTTTCTTACCTGTTCCAAAAATGATTCGTCAAAGACAATTATCAGTTTATAAAAGTAATTAATTATATTGGTGAGTCGACATAACTATTTACATGTTACTACAGGTATTTGATTTTGAGTCATTACCTGATTCTTGTAACCGTATTTCCTTGATTACCTTAATTGTAACAAATATTTGGTGATCGGCTCCTTACGGAACAGTAAATCATATGATTCACATTTCACGAATTCATTTCATTATAAGGTTGCGGCAAAATCCTTAGGTTTCCGACGGAAATGTCAAAATCAAAACTGAATTTCGGAGCAACTATAATTGATTTTTAATCGGGGTTTTTTTAATATCACAGCTCGTCTAGCGAAAATATCACATTATAATTATCATGCTACGGAATCATGATAACCGACAATAAAATGCCTGTGAAAATTTTTTACAACCTTAACTGAACCGAGTAGTAGAGCGACTCGACTCAAGAAATTAATTTCACAATGGCGAGTTATACATAGGATAAGTAAAAGCGTTAATTTACTTAACGTTGTTCAACCTTTCGCATAGTTATATATGCGCATCATCACAATCGTTCGGAATAAATGAGAGTTATAGCAGGTGGTGTGTTGACATTTTTAAATACTTAAAATACTTTGAATACTTTGTCAAACAAGGGCTAGCAGAATTTCTCGTCTATCCATATTACATACAGAAAAGAGAAATAAATATGATAATATTTACATAGTAAAAAAATTTTTATTTATTATATAAAATCCCAAACAACGCTCTTTTCACACCACCCGCTATAAATTATAAAGGATTACCACTTATGGACTATATGGTAAAAATCGACCCCGATCGAAACGTATCTATTATAAAGAAAAAGAAAATATGTAAAAGTTAGCAGGGAGTGACACACTCGCATTCCATGTCTAGGGAAGCAAATTCCTTTAAGCGACTATTCCTTGAGCCTCGCTATGCTAACGATCTTATAAACTGTTTCATTAAAACTTTGGTAAAACAGGGAGCGCAGTTTACCTCGTTAAAAATCTTTGTCAGCCTATAAGCCATCATCTTTCTCCTCAAGAGGGAGTCTAAACACTCACAAGAGTTAATGCAACAAACAAATGAATTCTATCCTTATTTATATTAAAAAAGTGAAAATTTTGAAATTGTGGGATTCAAAGATCTTCATGATAAACACTAATTATGGAAATATATGGTTGATCTATCCGTAACATAAGGTCAATTAATTCCAGTATAAATTAAAGTTTTTTTTTAATGAAATTTGTTGGTATGATGACATAAGACGCAATATTTTATAAATATACTGTATTTATGGTTAAAAATGTAATAATATTTTGCTCGCTTACTGTTCCAATAAATGACATGACTCTTTCACATTTAACCAGCGAAGGAAAGTGGGCCAAGACGGCATATATTTTATTTTTGTAATTGTATTTATTTTTTAGTATTTTATTTTTATACACGATGTCGATGTACTAGATACCATTGAAGGCAACCTCTTGGGCTTCAAGTCGTTGATAGCCACACATGGATATAGTTGTTTCTTTGGTAATGGTCTGCTTTGTTCTTAAGGAAGAACTGGCTACGTACTTAACCTTATAGCAGCCGATTTTTGGAAGAGTTACTTGTAACCCTTCCAGTTCCCATTATAGCCTATGTTGTAGTCCTCCCAGTTAGATTCGCTCAATAATATCTTCCATTATTTGCTAGTTACAAATGATGTATACATATTTTAATTTTTACAGGGCTATCAACCTCATCTTCAATTCTAATTCTAAATGGCGTAAATGTTACATTAATTATAATCCAAAGTTAAAAATTGTAACGTTTGCAAAGCGACGTTGAAATACTTTTTGGAAATAAAAACATCAATTCGACGTGCTTTTTTTTCTTTTATAGGGAATTCCATTGACAGATTTGTTGATTAACATTGGTGACAGTTACTGTGCTTTATTGATTGCCTTTTTTAATCAATAGTTCAAAAAGATACGCTTGTGACAAGTTACCAATAGTCAAAATGAAAACAACAAATGAGATTTAGTGACGTATTATTTATTTGTAAATACTTTGAAGAAATGGCAAGAAGAATGCCATAATATGTTTCATACTATTTTTGATAGGACAACTGTCATCATTTGCATATAATAAATCATCATCTCAAAAAATAATTCTCAAGGATCAGATAATTCTGATAATGTGGAATTATATTCAATATCAGTAGAAAGGTTGAAATAGTTCATGATGTGATGTATTCAGTTTGACCAGATCATGCTATAATTAATTGAGCAAGAGCTAGTAATTATCTTTCTAATCGTTATGGATTTCCTTCACATTCAATACCTGTTATTTCACTACTAATAAATAAAACATATACTAATGTATATGAAGAATATGTTGCTGCTAATAAATTCAAGAATTATAAATTATGGCCTATACAATATTTCTTCGAATAAAAAGAAATTAAACATTAAGTAAGGTAATATGCTAGTGTAACCCAAAATATTGTTACATCCTACTATATTTTAATTCTAAAGGGCAAAACCCTTTGAAACCCAAATATCTACAGAAATGAAGATGTTCAGCCTTCCAATTTATTTCTTGAATTAATACTGCGGTTAGAAATTTTTATTACAAGTCTCGGAATGCATAATAGTGATTTGTATTTACTGAAAATCGGGGTTAATATTAAAAAATACTTTTTTTAAAAAAAAATTTAATCGCAACTATTATTTATTATTAAAAATCATATAATCCAAATGCAATATTCCAAATATTTTTCAATTTTCCAATTGTCTATTGTCGCTTTACAAAATTATGTTATACCCTTATCTATTCTATCAAAATGCAATGTAATCTTTCATTAACGAAGTTTCATAAATATAAGATAACATGCCTAAATATTAATTATATGTAGATGTGAGTAAATTATAAATTAAACGAGGAAAAAAAGAAAAAAAAAGGTAGTTTGACCCTTACATGAATAATTGGTAAATGTTCTATTTTATCTTCTTCATCTACGATACAATATTCTTCTATGTAATCATCTTTTTTTGTGATTCTTTTCTTATCTTTAGCGTAACCTTCAGGTACTGTTACCACAAGTTCTTTTAATGGCATTCTATCTTCCCCAACAGAATGATTTACATCTTCCATAAAAAGCATGCTAAGTGGCCATAATTTATTATCTGAAGTTCTAACGTCTTGTCCTCCTATAACAAAAAATCCCGATGGCGGTAATTTTTCATATGCTTCTTTTGCTAAATGCTTAACTGCTGTACGATAAGTCGGTATAATTTGTGAGGTAAGAAGATTATTGGGAATGTGTGGAACAACAATTAATGCCGTTGGCGTTGGCGGAGGTAAGGGCATACTATTTAATATTTTTTCAAGATGAGAAATGTCATCTGATGTTTCTCCAAGATCACATTTTAATCCCTATTGAAATAAATGTATCATTAAATAAATGTTAATAATTTATCAATGTAAAAATAAATTTTAACTATTTACCAATGAAAGCAACATTTTCTGATTTTCTTTAATCCTTTTTTGTCTAATGCGCTCATATTCTGGCATGTCTTCTTCCTCACTATCAGCTTTGTCTAGAGATCAAATAATGATAAATTAACCAAGATAAAAAATTTTTATCAGAACAAAAGAAAAAATATTACCTTCGTATTTATATAATTGATTAACATTAACTGTATTATTCGGCTAATTAAAAATCAATAATTTAAATATTAAATTTCTTGTTTAAGTATTTGAAATATTCTAATAACCGTTTACATTACCTCCATATTGTTAAATTTTATCCGTATTTCTTCCCAATTGGCAAAGTCTCTACCAAACCGTTCAACCTTTATAGAAAATAATCGTTAATCACTTTGAACGAAAGAAATGTATAATGAAAAAAGATAATTCAAATACCATTCTTGAGGTACAAAGTTGTACAAAATTATGTATTGGTGTTGGCTTAAAAGTCCAAGTTGTACCCATTACGACACTTTTTCGTGCAATAGGAAGAATTGGGATTTCTCTAAGATTCCTTAAATACGTCACTGTGCCCGATAATGTAGATTCATCTGAAATGGTTAAGATAAATTTTTATTGTTAAAGACACATGTGAAAATTTAAATATAATTGAAAATTCAATCAAATCATACCAGGTGTCACTAACAATCTATCATTATGTGCTTTGTCAACCTTCTTAAAAGTTGCAATAAACTCATGCGTAAACATTAGAAAATCATATTGTACACAAAGATATGTACCAAGCCCAAATGCCTGGCAATATCTCTGACGTTTTGCAACCTTTTAGATGGTGATGTTAATAGTGAATGAATGAAGGGACGTTATAGTATTAAATTTTTGGCATAAAAGAAGCTAACTAAAATTACCAGCTCTTCTAATTCAAATCCCTGATCGATATATTGACGGAATAAATTAAAGCTAACTGGGACATAAAAACAATGTTCACGGTTATCACCAATTCCTAAAGTAACTCTTCTTTCGGGCTTCAATAACCTTAAATAACAATTCATTTAGTCGGTCAAATAATTAATCAAAAAAGGTTTTAATGGATCCATATATTTACCTCCAAGATTCATCAATAACTTTACTCATTTCTACAGCAAATTCCTTTGAGTTTGCAAATCTTGACAAGTCACCGTCAATATGTGTTGAATATTCAACACTGATTAAAAATAAGAGAATTAAAGTAACGGGCTATTATAAATTCTTACAAGCTTCATTTTTTCTCACCAATTTTTATAGGGCGGATGACTCAATATATGATCAAAGGACTCGTCTTCAAACATAGAACCTGATAAATTTCTAGAATCAGCTTGAAGTATTATCGGCCGATGTTCGGCTGTGATATCCCTATTCGGTGGTATCGCGAAAGAGCAATTTCGCTGTGACAAAGCAACTGCTGCCTAATATATTGAAAGATAGATATGAATAATTTATTTTGTTACAGTATTAAAAAGGCTTAAGAAATAATAACTTACTGGGTTGATATCAATGCCAATAAGTCTTTATAAATTGAGAGAAATTAGAAAAGTTAGTAATCTAAAAATATACATTAGTTGAAATTGTTTTTATATATATATACATATTTACCTCCTTCCGAGTAGGAAAGATTCAATAGCATCCGTTCCTATTACAAATATTGATTAACGCTCAAAATAAGATTTATATAAAAAAAAAATGTTAATTTAATGACAGCCAACCTCTCCCTAGGAAATTTGATAGAACTTTTCCGTTCTTCCTTGTAAAGCGAAGTAATGCTCTAAGATATTATGAAATATCAATTAAAATAGCCTTTTTTTTTTCTTTTTTCAATATTGAACTTAATCCGGCTGGCAACTTACCTGCGAACAGTTTGTGGTAGCCAAGTACCATGATAATCGGTACCACTATGCGTAGCCCCTAATTAAATTGATATGATAATTAATACTGATAATAAAATTAAAACTTCGTGATTATAATTTCCCGTATTTAAAATTTTACTTACACCTTGGAGCACGACCCGGAATATCAAAATAAGAACTATCAAAGGGCAAAGAAAACAACTGATTCTCTGTGGGTTCATAACTATCTAAATGCATTGCTTGAGATTCGAAGTCATCAAATTTTTTATCGGAACAGAAGTTTCTTGTCAAATATGGTTGGTACGAATAATCTTCGCTGGTAACTAATAATTTATCTTTCTCTTGATGATCTCCCGAATTATTATTTACCAAAACTAATTCAAAACAATCCTCACACATAAGTACACCATTATAACCTGTTAGGTTAATAAAAAGTTCAATATATTTTAAAAAAAACATTACGAAATGCATGACAGATGACTTAATGTTATTATACCTTTCCTCCAACGAGGAGACTCCTCCGCCCAACAATATGAACATTGAATTCTCCCTCCTTTATTTTGTTGCGAATTTCTAGATTTCTTCCGCATTCCTATTAGTATTATTTCAGTAAATTAATAATCAAATTCAGAAATTATCATTGAAAAAGATTAATAATTTACCTGCGCTATGAGCCTTTTGATTTGCAACGGCAAGTGCTGCTTGTTTCGTGATTTGAGCGTCTTTAATTTTCTTAACAGCTGATAAAAGTAATGAAAGTTAGTTTTGTCGAAACGAACTATAGAATAATATAAATACGTACATGTTTCTTCAAATTCATCTTTATCATGTTCATGTTCAGGATACTTTTCTTCAAAACACTAGAAAGATATTTGAATTATGGTTGCAATTTTAATGTGATATTCTTAGATTAAAAATAAGTGCATTAATACGAAACGTATTTTAAATTACTTGTAAACACAAATCAAAAGATGAGAAGAAGTTCGACTCGCAAGGCTTGCAAGTCATCCATTTGTCTTCTTGTAATTCACATGAACATACATCACAACGGTATACCTCATTGTATAATTCTGGAGATGATTAATATGAAGTCAATAATGTAATTTTTAATAAACCCAAGAACCAAAAAAATTTTAACTTACCTTTTTGAAGGTAACGCGCCTCATGTGTAGGACAATAGAAAATAACACCCATTTCAAAATGTGAAAGCGGTTTATCCGTGCATGAAAGATGATAACTTTTTGCACATTTAGGTTCGAAACATCCGATCGTTGCGCCACGCTCCTTGCATTTACCACATTTCTAAGAATATATCATAATAAAGTTATGAGAAAATTCGGAAATATCAGTGTTATAAGTATATAAGTATGCATTTTTACCATGCTTCGACCTCTTTTCCAAGCCAATGTTACGTTGTACCATTCACTTGATTTTGTAACAAAAACTTCTGGTGAATATTTTGCACATGCATGATGAGCCCAAAAAGTCTTCTGTTTTTCACCGTGACGTGTATAGGTGTTAGAAACGAAAGGATATGGAGCTATGAATCCACCAAGTTGATTTGAGTCATCATCATTGCAAAAGCCACATATTTTACGCATATTCCATGCTTGTAGGTAAAGATATCCCATGTCCGTATCCAATGGTACATTATTACTCGTTAAATCAAATTCGGGATCTTTATATGTTGTATCAAAAATATCTTTGTCAAAAATCTTAACAACTTCGCCTTTGGAAGACATTTTGATTGCTTCATCATCAATAACTGTTTGAACGGCAAAAGAACAACGAGGATGTTCGTGATAATTTGGAAATTGATGCGCAAAACACCTTATTAAAGAAAGTCGAATTAATAATTATTACTTATCTTAGTTACCTTTTAAAAATTAACTAATCTAAGTTTCTTACCACACACAGAGCTCAAAACTCCTATAGTCGTTTCCCTCTGATGGCGACTCACAATATGTACAATAATATCTAATATATGATGAATTTAACATTGGTTTAACGTCTATTGTGCAGATTAATTAGATTAATTACTTTTTAATAAAAATATTTACCTGAACTGTTTTATAACTACATTGCATTGATTGCAATATATACACCATTTATCATCGGCTATTATTAAATAAAATAAAGATGTTATTAACATGTTAAAATTTTATGTTGAAAATTCATCATACAAATACTAACCTGTAATTAACCTCCCATTAAGTGCGCCATTTACAACAAATTCCAAACGATAATCGTCATCGTTCTCTGCTTTGTTTTTCTTTTTCTTTGAATCTTTCTTATTTTCCAAAGAAGTCGAGGTAGGTTTGATATTCTGTGTAACTTCATTTTTTGTGCATTTTTCACGAAGTCTATCGCTGCTTATATCTATCCATTCATCATAGAAGGCTGGAACATCATCATAATGTATTAATACCCTACAACCTTTAGCTTCAATAATTGTTGCAGGAACCCATTCCTTTAACCTATCTCGTGCTTCAATTTGATTTCCTGGTTTAAACCGAGATTTTAGCTTAGCAAGAACATCAGAATTACTTAATAGCTTGTCATTACGAAGACTGCGACGAGTGTCTCGTCCAAAATAAAATTCATTCCAATCAAATGAGATCATGGAATTTGATGAAAGGTCACTTTGTTGAGAAAATAAATCTGAATCGCAACCTGCTTTATTATTATTAATGACTTTTGTCGACTCTGTTGTTTTTGATGTTCCATTAGGAGTTATCGTTGAAGGTGGTTGTATTGGTCGTTTTAAATTGGTTCTTTTTCTTCTTTGTGGTATATACATCATTTCTCTTTGTTGAAGCGTCTCTTTATCTATCTGTTCATATGCCTTTTGTGCTTCTAATATTTCTTCAAGTGTCATGTCTCTCATTCTTTGGCTTCCTGCTGGGATCCATTCATCAAAATAATCACTCCAACCATCAAAATGCACTCGAATACGTCCATCCTCAACATCTACCATTGTGGCCGGATACCATTCGCCGTCTCGACTTAAAACTTTAACCCGTTTTTGAAGTTCAAAACCATATTGACCACCACGTCTAAAACGGAACGTAGCATCGTCACCAAAGAGTGACCTACAATAGGTACATAAGTCAAGACTGCCTACTCTTTGTACATTTAGATGCATAATTTTACATGATTCACATATTTTCTCTTCGGATGATTGGCTTTTCTTGCGTATCGTATCCTTCTTAATGTTTCGTACAGTTCTTTTAACATGGGGCTTATGTGGTTTTATCTCAGTTTCTTCACTAGAACTACTTAGAGAGTTATAATTTGATTCGGACGCGCTAAGAGATGATGAAGATGGTGATATCGATTCCGGACAACTACTTAAAGAATCAGAATCAGAATCTGGAACACTACTGAGAGATTCAGAGTCAGTACCTAATATCTCTTTCAGCTTATACATATTCGATTGATATTCCTTATCGTTATCGTGAAAACATGCGGAATCTTTCCTTGGTTTTTTTGGTTTATCATTTAGATTAATAGATTTTTGAGGACTTTTGGACGTAGAAGCTTTTGATTGAATATGGTTTTGATCAAGATTATCTTGATTAGTCTCGATATAATTAGGTAAATTATTTTCTTCATTTTCTGTTGAGGATTTCAATCTTCGACTTTCTACAGATATCCATTCATCAAATTTTTTCCCCCAACCATCAAAGTGAACTTTAATTCTGGATTTTTCTACCTTTACAATCCTGGCAGGATACCAAATCTTATCTATATTAAGTACTTGGACTTTTTGATCTAATGTGAAGTCATGTGCAAATGCTTTGACTCTCGTTAATTGAGGTGCAAATAATGGCACACACTTAGTACATAATTCAATTGCGCCCACTTTCTCCAATTTATCAAATAAGCTTTCACAAGAATTGCACTTATTCTTTTTACGAATTATTGTTGGTGTTTGCGATCGAGGATTACTCTTCTTTTGCTTATGGTCAATAATTTTCTTTGTCGGGGTAGATTGTACTTTTTTTGTGTCATTACTTATCGTTGGTTTTACAGCAGTTCTCTTTCTTGTTCGCTTTGATTTTGTCGAAAATTTTGTTTGCGGATCTTTTGTATCCGGTATTATCTCATGTTTTTCAATATTCTTATTGAAGATGGAACGTTGTTTAGCCATCGCGACATTATTGTTTTGTGAAGAATTCTTCTGTATTTCAAGAATTTCTTCATCGCTCATCACTCTCAACCTTCGACTATCCTTTGATACCCATTCGTCATATTTAGCATCCCAACCATCAAAACGCACTCTAACTTTAGTTTTATCAATTGCAATGATTGTACCAGGATACCAAATACTATCAACGTTTAGAACCTTAACACGTTGATTTGCAGAGTACCCTTCGAACTTTACAAAGGCAAGATCTTTTATGCCCTGGCGAGTAAAAACAGCTCCAGCAAATCGATCTTTTCCATTTTTTATTGAGTTGGTACATACATTTGACGAATGAATAGGAATTTCATTATCCTCATATGTTACTGGAATTTTGGGTGAGGGAGGTTCTTCAGTTTTTAATTTTAAGTTAGTACAGCATCGCTTATCACTACTTATATAACCGAAATCCAATTTTGAAAATGAATTGGATAATTCCACCGTTGAGTTGTCATCGGTAAATTTTAAACTAGAATCTATATATTCTGGTAAATCATCTACAATTATAAAAGAGTCTTCAGAACTTTCAGAATTGCTAGAAGTGATACCCAAAGCATTATCGTTAAGGGCTGACAAATTTTCAATAGAAAGATTTTTTTTGAAGTCGTCTCCTGATTCTTTAACAGTAACTATGACCGAATCAACTAGAGTTGTTTCCTCTCCCTTTTCTCCCTGAATCTCATTAATTTCATTATCAACAAGCATCAAACAATTCCTAATATCAGAATTTGAAATTATGTCCGTGCTATCTTTTCTTGTAATTTGACTTAAAGTCGGCGTTGATGACACTTCCAAGTCGGAATTCAACGAGACAAAAGAATCTTCCTGAACATTATTAGTATTAAGTACATTATTATTTATATTTGTAAATTTAGACTCCTCTTCTAACTCCGTCATTTTCTCTATCATGCCTGAGTCTATAACAATTGCATCATCTGATGACACCAAATTAGACTCCACTACATCATTGACAGTCTCTGAATTATTAATAATTGGATTAGCATTATAATTTGTTTTTTCTAACACAGTATTAGAAATAGTTATTGGAGGATCTTTAATGTCCTTTTCCTTAATAATCTCATCATCTAATTCCATATTGTCACAAGCGATTCCACTATCCCGGCGAGTGGAATTTTCGCCTGAAGAAAGTGAATCATAAATTAAATTCTCACTAGAATCCGTTGCTCTATCAGAGATATCATGTGACTTCAGATTTTGATTATTATCTGCCGAGTTTGCATCATGTGCACTTTGAACCGAATTGATCTCCATGTCCAATTTAATTTTCTGAAAAAAAAAAATTTATAATGACCAGTTTAAAATCAAGCAACAAGTTTTAAATTTCATAGAATAATATATAGAATAAATACCTTCTTTATACCAAACGCTTCATGAATTTCATCATCTGGTACAAACGATTTAGAGGAGTTGAAATTTAACAGACTGATTCTGTCTTTTAAGTTAATTTCAATTTTATTTACAAATTTTTTCTTCGTAAAGAGTTTACGACCATCATTTTCATAAGTATGAACTGAATTTGTCAATGAATCATTAGACAAAGGAACAGTCGATGACTTTATATTTTCGGAAGGTCGGATCCGCTTTTTGGATTCATAATTAATCTGCTTTGTGGGTTCATATGATGGCTCAGATACAATTTGATTTTGATGTTTAACATTATTTATTGAATTTTCAACTACTTTCTTTTTGTTTTTTTTATTCTTTTTAGTTTGCTGAGCATTAGTTGATATATGATCGACATGCTTAATAACAATTAAATTTTACTTATTTATTATTATACGGTTAAAAAGTTTTTTTAAAAACAAAATCAATTCAATCTTACTTACATCATTATTATCATTACCCAGCGCATAAGTAGGAAATTGTGAAATTATAGGTCGATGGAAGTCTCTAGGTTGAGATCCATGATGATAAAAGTGTTGCATGACTGGCCGTTGTGAACCATAAAATTGGTAGTTATTTGATTGTCGTGGATAAATAGGAGGATCAGGAATTAAATGATGCGGATATTGCTGTGGAAAATGACGAATTGGGTAGGATTGTGATTCTGGTGGAGCGTGAAAAGGTGAAAGTGTTCCGGGGGGGAATATTTGACGATTTTGCCTTTCGAAATGTTCCGGAGTGTATAGATATTCCTAATATGCAAAGGACCAAAAATTCAAATTTCAAGGGTTATAATTTCCTTTTGTAAAGTATTAATTGAATACATACCATTGAATTTGTTATCGGCCAATTTGGAAAATTGTTATGATTTGGCGCGCGCCATATTTGATGATGATGACTTGAATTGACAGGTGAGTTATTATAACATGGTGAAGATGAATAACCATTGTTCGTCAATTCGCTTTTCGACTTTTGATCTGAGTTATATGCGTATTGATTGTTAATTGCCTCATCTCTATGGCGTATGAATCCGCGCTTATTTTTCTTGAATTTCTCATGTAATTGACTTTGTGGTTTAAAATGAGGAGGGTTGATCTGATGTCCATTGTTGAACGTTGGCGAAATTGGCCTTTGTGGTAAGTAAGATTGAGGAGACGATGGCAACAAATGGGGAGGCATCACCCCTTTTTTTATATATAGAGAGGAATAGGGTTCATCAAACCAGATATTTATTATTTAAAACATTTTTTTCCTCATTGAAGAATTCATTCAAGAAACGATAACAACAATTCACATAACAACGTACCAGGAGGAGCCTCAGTCGCATTTATTTGCCAGCTAAGAGTTGAAGTTGCCTCGACGTTTTGCTTAAATTTCTCGTAAGAGGGATACATGGTTTTACTTGGTTAAAACGTCTCCCGCGTTCTAAATAAATAAAATGGGACAATTTTTCTTTTCATTAAACGTTTTTTCGAACGTCCGTAAAGTTCAATAAAACCTTAGGTTACTACATACCGACAACACTCTCAAAGAGTTACGCGTCAGGATACTGGAAGAAAGTTTATGATACCAAAAGTATTGTTTAATACGTCAAAAGCGACACCCTCTTAACTGTCGCTATTGTGGATAAAGCGTTCTTTCTTTGCTTGACCCACAAGTATAAAATTCTTTGAAAACTTAACCGGTCAAGAATGGAATTCGGCTTGTAAACAGCACGAGGAATGCACGAGAGAAATTCAAAGAACAGACCAGACCAGTTAAATAAAAGGGGGAGTTCGTTCATTTTAAATTTCGAATCATTTTTAATATATAAATAAAATGCCGGGAAAATGTCGTGTAACTTTAACTGTATAAATTTTTTATTAAGTTTCACTTTTTTTTTTAACGGCTTTTATAAAAAAAGCTACCTCACGCGTGAATGCGTCGCTCTTTTTTTTTTTCAAATTTTAATAGATCCATTGTTGCTACCCAACTTTACACAATCGGGTTTTAAAAAAAAAAACCTGAAATAAAAGGCATTGTTGAAATTCTTTATCTTGATTCGCACTAGGTAATATCTTTGTTGTATCAGCCTTACTAAATTTGTACAATTACAGATAAATGAAATTTGCCGGTGTAAAATCCTAATTAGTCCTTTTTTTTTATATATAAACCTGTTTGCACATTTACACCAAAAGTAAATTACATGAGAAACATTTCTATTTATTTACAGTTATTGAATCTTATATTACATAATATATTAAATGTGTGATCGAGTGATCAAGCCATAAAGGTATAATAACAACGATCCAAAATTCCAGTAATATCTATTATATTGACACAAAATTTTTTTTTGAATTTTCATTATTACAATAATTTGCGTTTCTGCAAATCTGCAAAAACGCCACTTGCGAATCTCTGATCAATCTCGCAGGACATCTGACAAATTCAAAATCTAACGAATGATTTTGTATGAAATTTAAGTTTAATCGAATATAGTACAATAAAAATATTTAAGTTTTGAATGATGGGTAGAAGTTGAACCAACGTACATGATTTTTGAGTTTGATGGTTTCTAAAAATGCAAATCGGAAATTTTTCAAAATCCAAATTCTGGGTAAAATACTGAAATTTGTCGCGTTACGTGTGTCATGTTCATGTCGATACTTGAATTATGACAATATGATGTAATAAATAAGAAAGCAAGCTTTTCGATAATAATAAAATAATAATAATAATAATAATAATTCTCACCGACTAAAAAATGTCTCGCTTCTTTAAGAATTGGAAATTTTACATTATTGATATCAAAATACCAAAAGACAGGCTAGACAATTGCAAAAATCAAATAATTAATCACGGTGGACAACTTGCAGAAACTATAGAATGTGCCGATGTTTTATTGACTATCTTAAAAACCCCCTTAAGATTAGCGCGTTATGTGCCAGAAACTCAGAAACCTATATGTTCTATTGACTGGGTTGAAGAATGGTTTGCAAATATTTTCTTTCGAAATATTTAAAGTCAAACAAAAAAAAAAATAAATAAATAAAAATGAATTTATTTTTCCTCAAGTCAAAAAAATGGACAAAGGGTACCATATGATGGTTATTTAATTTCTCTGAATTTTGAAAAACCTTACGAAACTTCACGATCTCTTGAAAAGGAAAATCTTGGGGATACGATTGAGATTAGTCAGTCTGAATCAAGCATTAGCGATGAAAGGTAATTTTTATTAAAGTAATCATCTAATTCTTTAAAATGGTTTAATTTATTTAATCAAGTAATTTTTCATAGGACTTCTGAAAGCTATACTGATGAAGAACAAAATTCAGATATAGAAAGTTCATATATATACATATATATATATGTATTTAAGTAAATATATGCGTATGTTTGAAAGAATTATTTACATCTCTTTTTATTTAGCTGTAGACGATTTAAATCCTCATTTCTTAAACACAAAATACGAATGCCTTCGTCCTACGCCACTTATGCCCGAACACAACCAATCTCTCGTGGAACTGCTCGAAGTGTTGGAACATTCACGTGAATTGAATGGTGAAGGGAGGAATGCATTGGCATATCGTCACGCGATTTCAGCCTTAAAGGTAAATTAAACTTGGTTTAAAATGAGATAAGCTATGGTCAAGTTTCATGAATCATATTTTGCTTAGGTTTATCCATGTGATATTAAAAGTTACAAAGAAGCTCGGAAAATAATAGGTAAAAAAAAAACTCATACCGTGTAGTTGATTTGATTGAAACATTCTTTATTGAAATAATTTTTCTTGCCTTTAAATTTTTTTTTTTTTTAAAGGAATTGGACCAAAAATTGGTAACCATATAAAAGAATTTTTATCAAAAGGTAATAACGAAATAAATAATTTGTTTTAATTTTCGCATTGCGACAAACGTTAATACATCGAATTACAGGCACAATTCCCGAAGCCGAAGAAATTATGGCAAGCGAAAAATATCAAACTTTGGATCTTTTTTCGCGTGTTTACGGTATGTTGAAATAATCATCTTGTTTCTTGTATAAATTACTAATAATAATCATTTGTTTATTAATTTATTTTTATTTTTAAGGTGTTGGCCATAAGACAGCCTTGGCATGGTATCGAAAAGGTTATAGGACAATGAGAGAATGCATGAAGGATCCGTATTTAACTCACGTTCAGAGATTAGGTTTGGAACTATTTGATGATTTTCAGAAAAAGTAATATTTTTTAAGTCTTTTTGTTATTTTAATGATGTATTTATTAACTTGAAATGATTTTTAGAATGTCTAGACGAGATATACAAGAAATACTAAACATTTTGGATAAAGAGATTAAGTCTATTTATCCTAATTGTATAATAACTCCTGTTGGGGGGTATCGTCGCGGGAAAGAATTCAACGGAGATTTAGATGTCGTCATATCACATCCTCAAGAGGAAGTCGCGAATAACTTGTTGAATGTTATAGTAGAAATGCTTTTAGATTCAGGTATATTATTATTTGTAAATAATTCAACAAAATTTATTAATTTCTAATTTGATTGAATATTTATTTAGGGTATTTGAAACATAAACTTTTTTACGGACACATAAGTGCAAAAAATAAAAAGAGTATTCCAAACGCACTTTTTTCTTTTCATAGAAATGTCATGGATAAACTTGATAAGGTAGAATCCAAATGATCTTTTTTTTATATATATATATATACATTACACTTAACTATAAATTATTTTAGTGCTTTTGTGCTTTTATTCAACCAAGTGCACAAATATGTCGACAAGTAGACCTTATAATAGCCCCTTACTCTCAATATCCAACAGCGGTTCTTGGATGGACAGGTGAGGTATGTTCTAGTTGATTTGGTCTCAATAATGTAAGGCTAATGAATTTTAATGTCTTAGGATCGAGGCAGTTTGAACGATCCTTAAAGGATTATGCAAAGAAGGAGAAAAAAATGACATTCGCTTCTCATGGACTTTTCTCAAATGTTATTTCAAGAAAACGCATCCATGCAATTTCTGAAAGAGATGTTTTCGATATCTTAGGAATTCCTTGGTTAGAACCAGAAATGAGAAATTGTTAATTAATATATCCTATTTATTTTTGAAAATTTACTATATTTTGAATTTCTGACCAAAATTGGTTTTTAAAAAAATGTTATTTATAATCTTCATAATGGTACCCTAATGATTTGGTGAAGATAACCAGCAATAAGTTAAGGTTTCTGACCATTTAAATTGTTGTTACCCTGATTTGAAGATTGATATTTTGGTATTGAATATATGGAATAAAGCTTTAAATTTATGTTTTTTGCATATTAATTGGATTTGATCAATACAAAAGCCAGAAGTTTTATGATAAGTCAGTAGTAGTATTTGTAATAAATACAATACATATATAGAAAATTAATCTTTTATTTTCTATAAATTTAATAAACCATCAAATTTAAACAATTAACACATTAATTTTTCATAATAGGTTAATATTTCGGCAGTTAATGAAGCTTTTACGATTTTCAAAGCTTTCAAAAAATCAGACATATTCTATCAAGAGATATAGATATTAATTATAAGTTATTGTCCAAATGTTATTGAAAAATAAATCAAATGGCTATAAAAGAATATTACCACATTTGACGTGGTTTTCATGCCGCGTAATGCTATCATTGCAGATTCCCTACACAAATTTTTGATATCTGCGCCTGTATACTTTTCAGTCTGCATAAAATATAATAAGCGTAAAATAAAACTAGAAATAAATAAAAATTTATAAAATGAGAAGATCAATGGAAAATAAATACCTTCTTAGCAATAAAATCCAGGTCTACATCATCATTTAATGGCATATTTGAGGTATGTATCTTTAAAATTTGTTTTCGTGATTTAAAATCTGGAGGTGGAACCTTATAATAAACAAAAATATCGTTATAAAATAGTAAAAGAAATGAATTATTTTATGATCACTTACATATATAAGACGATCGAACCTTCCAGGTCGTAAAAGAGCAGCATCGAGCATATCTGGTCGATTTGTCGCACCCTTATCAAAAAGAAATAGATCAAGTAATTGATCTTAATGATGATATTTGATATATTTATTACTAACCATTATAAGAATCGACGTAGCAATTTCAACACCGTCCATTTCATTTAGTAGCATTGACAAAACGCGTTCCTGAACACTATCTCCGTTTCCGGTACCACCTCCTTCACCCAAAGATCTTTTTCCAACAATAGCGTCAATTTCATCAAGAAAAAGAACAGCTGGGCTTGAAGCACGTGCACGTTGAAAAATAGATCGAACTAATAATTTAAATCGAAAATTTGTTAAAAATAAATGTCTAAATTTAAGGCAAAAAAAAAAAATTCTTACTTATTTTCTCGGAATCCCCAACGTATGGAGAATAAAGTTGAGCTCCATTAACAGATAAAAATGTTGCTCCGGAAACACTGGCTATTACCTAAATTATAATGAGAATTATTAAATATAAATAGAATGACGAAAATAAAAAAAATAAAAATAATTTATATAACCTTGACTAGCGTTGTTTTACTACATCCAGGTGGCCCATACAAAAGAATTCCTCTAGGAGGGCTTAATCCTAGTTTTTTAAATGTATGACGATATTTCAATGGCCATTCAACTGCTTGTTTTAAAGTCTATATAAGTTAAAAGATCAAAATTTGTGAGGTTGAATAAACACAACATATAAACAATACATATATATCTCTCTCCAAAACTCCAACCTTTTTAACTGCATCTAATCCACCAATATCATCCCAATTTGTTTCTTCAAAATTAACTTGAAATCCACGTTGTATCGAAGGCATGACATATGATAGTGCCACCATAAAATCTTCCATGATAACATCGTTATTAGACCTAAATTATTTAATTTTGTAAATACGTGCTTCTTCCAATTTAAACTTATCAAAATAATGTATTATCCTTCATGCTTTGCAAAATTATTATCGGAAGTACAATTTATTTGACGATGAACTGCATTTATTGCAGCTTCACGACATAACGAAGCCAAGTCGGCACCAACATATCCATTAGTCATAGAAGATAACAAAGCTATTAATAGTAAATGTGAAATTATTTTAAATCAATAAAACCATAATTTTATAATTTACAATATTAATTAGTTCTTACCAATATTAACATCATTTCCAAGCGGCATTTTTGACGTTTTAAATTGTAATATTCTTTGACGTACTTTTTCATCTGGAATATCAATTGATACTTCTCGATCGAAACTAATTATTTTTAACTTAAATTAAACAAAATTAATTATTAATGCAAAGGTACGAAGACCCGAACATAATATATGCAAATCCATTAAGTTCCCGAATTTGCATAATTTCAGGTAGAAATTATAAGGCTTCTTGATAAGGATTTGTATATTTCATCGAGGCGGTGGTAAGCTCGTGAAATTGGAACAATATGATCGGTATATTATGCTCGGGTCATATTTTAAGATCTCATACCGTCCAGGTCTTCTTAAAGCTGGATCAATAGCATTAGGTCGATTGGTGGTTGCAATAACAACCAATCTGCCACGTGATTCCATACCATCCATTAATGTTAGAAGTTGAGCAACCACTCGAGATTCATGAGATTGCGATTCTATTCGATGCGGTGTTAGAGCATCCTAATATATGAATCAGTATGAAAAAAAGTTTTACCAGAAAGCATTGTGAAAAGTAATGTTATTTGAATTACCAATTCATCAATGAAAAGGATTATTGGATTATCTTCCTCAATTGTCATCCTTTTGGCTTGAGAGAACTTATGCCTTAGTTTTGCTTCACTCTCTCCAACATAAGTCCCAAATATATCAGGTCCGTTTATAGAAATCTATTTAAGAATAAAATTTTTCTTAATACTTCATACACAAATCTTATAAATTATGTTTAATACACACCATTTTTGCATTACATGCCTTCGCAATTATGCTAACGAGATATGTTTTTCCTATACCGGGTGGCCCATGAAGTAACACGCCTAGTAAAATGAACGATTATATTGTTGGAAAGAAATAAATTATATATATATTTATTGACGGAGAAAAATCTCATACGAACCTTTGGGACATTCAATATTTAGCTTGTGAATTATATCCGGATATAATAACGGGTAAACAACTACTTCAAAGAGTGCGTCATAAGCCTTTTCAAGTCCGGGAATATTATTGGTAAACCCTTCTAATGAAATAGTTTGCAAAGATGACGATATTTGATCGATTTCAATATCAACATCTTTACTTTGTATACATTCTACTATTGAGATTTGACTTTTTTTTGTAAATAATAATTCGTTATTTGGATATGTCCCGAGAATCTTAAAAATCGCAATGATAAATCAAAAAAGCAAAGATGAGCAAAACATTTCGAACATTAAGGAAACGAGATAATTTGAATTATCAATACCATTATTTTCAAACCACGCTTTTTGTCAGAAACAACACATCCATTACATATTACCATTCCATTTAATATGTTTTTGATCGTCTATATAGAAGTTTAGAATCATTGAATAAAATTAGATTTTATATGTATTTGATGAAATTAATTACCTGATCTCTAATAGAATTCGATCCTTTCTTCCATACAAATCCTAATTCATATAATTGTCTTTTGTCTTGATCTCCATCCTCGAAATCATAAAGTTTGATGGAAAGTATAACTTCTTTAGCTTCCTGTAGATTAACTCTTAAGGGATCTAAAGAGCCTAATATGCAATCCATATGATTCAGCAAAAAAAATAAAAAGAAAAAAAAAGTTCAACAATCGATATTTCCATACATGATAGCTTATCCAAATTCGATCTATCTGATGCTTTTACCCTTTTACTTATAAAATTATCTGCTTGGATTATTCCAGTTGGTATCAAAGCTGGCCATGCACGACAATATAATGACTAGATATTGACGAAGTAAGTAACTATATAAAACAATGTAATAATATATCGTAAATACAACAAATATTTACACACCTCTGACAAAGAATCAATTCGAACCCATTGCCCAATTGACAAGTTCCTCTTTCTCATAATATCACTTGAAATTACACACCGCGCGGAACCTGTATCTTCGGGAACAGGTGGTTTTAAAAGAAAGTCTCCCATGTTTTTTATCAGTTAATAATTACACTTTGATTCTCTGATTAAAATTCTTGTAATGTGGCGCAGTATATTCGCTTTTTCACTCTAATAAATGATTGACATTATAATTTCTTAATTTGATCTTCCGATCAGGTGAGAGTAAAATCGATCGATCTTATCAAAATTTTAAATTTTTTTATTCGTTTTCATATCAATGATTCAGTTACGCCATATATATTTAATAATCTAAACCGGTCTCAAGAACCGAAACCGGTTCTATGGTCCGAACCGTCCAATCACAGACCTAAGGATGGGTCGACTCCCTATTTATTCATTTATTCCTGTTATTTGAAATGTTAGTGTAGGGTAAATAAATTCATATAGATATTTTTATTCATGGGTTAAAGATTGCTATCACGCACAAACTTTTAATTCTTGCTAATAAAAAATCAAGGAATTGAAATTGATAGCTGAAGCATAGTTTAAAAATAAGGATTACTTATTTGATCGCGGAGAGGAAATGAAAAGACACGACATTATTTGAAGTTGAGTGATATTGTAATATCTTTATACTTTGGACCTTTCACGTATGTAATGATAAAATACGAAAATTTGAAAACAATCACAAGATTATTTATTTTATTTATTTGTATTTTATAGATCTTACAGTTCAACTTCCTGTTCACATTGCACATTCCGCATCTTTACAACCGGCTCCTATAGCCGAAGCAGTTTTGAATGTATTTCCAAATCATTATAATATGATGGACGAATTAGCCCCTGCATCACCTTACGCGTATATTTTAGCATTGAACGTGTAAGATATCTTACTTTACAACACAAGAACAAGGAGTCATAAAAAAAACTCATTTTTGGTGCAGCTTCGAGATTTGGAGGTTATGGAAAATAGGAATTTGTCACCACCTAACTCAGAATATGAACTTGTTAATACATCACACGAACCGGAGGATGTTAAAAAGTGGCTCGAGAAGCGACATAATAATCAATCTGAAACATCAAGCCCAGCTTTGTCGGATGGAAAACCTGTTGTTACACCTGGTGAAAATCTATTTGGGCATATATTATTCGAAGCCAAGAAATTGCAAGTACTTCACCACGTTCTCATTCTCTATTGTTTAAGCAAAATATTCCTTTTGATTCGAATGGTCAAGGAACCACTCCAATTGATATTCCAATACATGATTCATCAGATTCATTTAAACGAAATGAGAGTTTAGTATCCTCACCATCAGGATTAACTCTATTAATGAGGAAAAAGGCGTCAATTCCTACAATTCATGATAAAAGTTTGAAGTATCATCATCCACAACAAACAAACATATGATCATGCTCCTAAAGGTCGCCTCTACCAATACCAAACCCTAAAGCAATTGATGATAAAAGTTCGGAGTTCAAGTTTCCGGACTTGAACAAGAAAAACCTAAAACACCGCCTGTGAATAATTTTAATACGTGCCAAAGATACTGGAAGAGGAAATTTGTCATCATTATTTAAATGGGGATCTTCTTGGATTTGATATGGTGCATCGAACAATCAAAGTCAATGACAAAGCATATACGAGAATGCATCCAACGAAATTCCAAAGAATAGGCCTCGTAGAAAGCTTCCACCTCCTCCAACAACACCAGCGCCAGAAATGAACTGTAATATGACAGACCATTCATCAATTAATCCTATCCCGGATGAAAATCCAATTCCTAAAACGAAAATGCGTCGCAGATTACTTGCCGTTTTAACTTCTCCCCAAAATCAATAACATCCAATAACCCAATTATAGAGGAAAAGGAAAACCTAATAATATTTCACATTCAACTCCTCAAAAATACTTTTTGCAACTACGATCCACCTTCAGCTCATCTGTTTTCAAATTTCCACCAAATATAATGAAAACAAAAAATACAAACATCATGTCCGATCCTCCAATTGCATGAATTACGTAAAAAAGATATTACAGTAATAATTTTTCATTCGCATTCAGTCACAATATTTATAGTAATTTTATTATAAAATATTTTCAGTCGCATTCAGTCGCAATTTATTAGTGGTTCATGAATTATGAAATTAGCTGTAAAGATATTACTATAAAGCGTTATGAATGTAAAGAAAATTACGATTAGAAGAACTTTATGCATGAATTCATATTAATCTCTCAAAAAGTCGAAAGAAATGTATCATGACATTTTTTATCCCAACATTATGGGGACCCTCACAGCAAAAGGTGGTTCGGGTCAGTCACGTGATTTTTGAAAATCATTTTGGAATTATCATTTTTTCCATATATAATAATACTAGTAAAAGAGGTTTTTTTATTATAAAATTTTTCGCAATTTTCTTTTATTGTATAAATAAATAATATGGTATTTATTTTAATAATGATAGTGCAAATGAAACTGTTTTAGTAACTAATGTTCTCAATTAGTTACTTTAAAATTTTTGTTTTAGGTTATAAAGAGACCCTTAAAATTAAATCCAATATGAATAAACAGAGTTAGTCATATTATATCTTATATAGGTTCAAGTTCCAAAGTCATGCCAAAACCTGACCCTTTATTAACAACTTGAGTAAGATGTTTCTCATCCTGTTTGCATCCTGATCTATTTTCACCTTATATGAATCACACTAAACAGTCTTAGAATTATCTGGTTTATCATTGATTTGTTCACAATACTTACACATCTTAAAAGTGTATTTCTTAATATACTTGATGATCTTGTAATACTTGTATTCTCTTATTTTATGCAAAAGAAACATTCAAAATCTGAAATATGATTAGGTTAGTATTACGCAGACTGTCCTCAATCAGATCTTTCTTTTATTTTTAAGTATCATATGTAATGTTTTAAATTTGGGTAGAAAAATGATCTTATAATTCTGATATAACCATCGGCTAGCTGGTGATAACACTCATTTATCAAATTACAGATTCATTATATAATTCGTAGCATTTTTTTTTCAATTGAAATCTCTTTCTCTTGTTTGTTCCTCCCAAAGCAAGATCCTTATCACTTTGTAATTTGTCATATTTCTTGAATAATTTGAATACTTTGTCAATATCACCATTATCCTACTCAATTAATTAACTGTTAGAATTGTAACTGGTCATAAATGTGTAAATACCTGAATCTAATGAGATTATTTTAGTTGTTGATAATATCTAAAGGAATGGAAACATACAAATAAAATGTTTTAGGTGATTCATAGTTATGTTAACCATATTATCGATCTTTGGTGATTATTTTGAATGATAATAAGACCTTACTTACTACTAAGATATGTTAGCAGAAGAAATTCAACTTTTATATATAAGCTTACCTTATTCTATTTTATATGTTTTATACTAATTAACTTTACCAACATTTAAATCACCTTTTTAGATTTATACATAAATTTACAGACAAATAAAATATATAAAATATTAATAAATAATAGAAATAATCAATAAGTTTTGTCTTTTGGTATCTAATTAAACAATTAAATTTGTCTATATTTTTCTTACAGTGATCCTAATATATGAGAAGGCAGCAAAAATTCCAATATTTGAGAAAAAGTTAAAGATGATAGTATTCAATAGATTTACTTTTCATTGGATTGATAATAATAAAACTCACAATCTTTTTAATTTTATTTCACTACTTTTAGTATTACCTGATTGATGAACTCTTGCTGGTCAAATTTTAAATAAAATTACTAAATGAAATTGAATCTAATATTCAACAACTTGCTTCAAATGATAAAATTGAAATTACCTCAACTTTTGATGGTTAGAAAATTGTTGTAAAACAAGATAATAGATGTTGTTTTAATTACTTCAAGTAGCTCAATTCTTATATAGAATGCAAAAAATATAAGTGGTAAACATCAATGCGCAGAAGAAGTTATGCAATAAATAGAATTACTTTTTAAAAAAACAGTATCTCAAAATATTCAAGTAAATGAATTAGTAATTGATTCTGCTAGGGAATATGGATCTGCTAGGTATTTATTTATTTATTTATTATTATTATATTATAATTTTTAATTAATTTTTATTTTTATTAATAGACGACAAATAAAATTAATTCATTATGAAATAGTATTTTTACTATGCTTTACATATCAAGCTAATAATTATATAGAAGAAATTTTTAAAGAATCTTCATTTTTTAAAATAACTTCTAATTATGCTATTTGAATAATTAGCTTTTTTCATTCATCAGTTTATTTTACACAAAAACTTTTTGATAAACAGTTAAACTTTATAAAAAAAATTATAGCTCTTACAAATCCATATTCAACTCGTTGAAATAATTATTATAATCCTTTTAATTTCCTTTTAAAAACAAAAGATACACTATGGTAAATTTATTATATTTATTAAAGTATTTAATTTTTGTAAACATTATTTATTAATTTATAAAATTTTTATAAATTTTTTAGACTTTAATAACAATTAATTCTCATGCCGATAAAGATGAACTTCATTTACCAACAAATCTTTCTAAATTTATCAACAATATAAGTCTTTGAACAAATTTAGAAAAATTAACAACTCTTTTATATCCATTTTGTGAAATTTTAAATATTATACAATAGGATAAGTACGTTTTCATCAAGTAATATATTCTTTTAGTTTTATTATAAATAATATGAAACAACTAATACTAATTCATTTTTGTAATCGTATGATTAAATGACTTGAATTACGTTAGGCTAGCTGGAAATAACCATTATTAATACTTTCATTAGCTCTTCATCTAAAATAGCGATTAGAAAACTTTTCTTCAACAGCTAAAAATTTAACATATTTATATATTAATCATTGGATTAATTATTATTATAAATCTTGGTTTAAAAAAGATCTAACAACTATTCTTCAAAAATTAGAAAATTTTCAAAGTAATGATATCCTTTTTGTAATAAAACATTTAAACAATTTGATAATATTGTAAAATTGTGGGAAAGTATTTCTAATATAGCTCTAGAATTAGATGCATTAGCTAATTGTTTATTTGGAATCTGTATTAATACAGCTTTATGTGAAAGGTTATTTTCTACAATAGGATTTTTACATTCAAAAAGACGCAATCGATTACAAGTAAATTATTTATTTTTTTTTAGTATAAAAAAGTTTTGCCAATAAGTCAATTTCAAACTGAAATTATTAAAGAAAATAAGATTAAATATAATACAAAAAAAAAACCAAATTACAAATATATAAAAATCATTCTAAAAATGAATTAGAAATAGATGATAAAGTATTTGATGATAGTGATAATAATTTACCAATATTAAATGAAACACAATGGTTAGGAGTAATAGAAGAATAAGCAAATTTATTAAATGATGAGAAATTAGAAGAAGAAATAACTTTAAAAGAATTGAAGATGAAAATTCAGAAAGTGATGATGATAATGAAGTTTTACTAGAGAATGTAATAGCAAAATAGAAATTAGAAGATTTGTTTATTTCTAATTTAGAATTTCCCTTTTAACAAATAGTTTTGTATAATACATATTATTTTATTTAAATAAAATAAGTAATTTTAACAAGATTAAAGATATATTTAATTATTTTTTTTATAAATTATAAATTAATAAATATTAATAAATAACAATAAATACAAATTCTATTTCCATTGCTTAACCAATAGATAATAGACAGCATTTTTTGTCCAGTATTATCCAATGTCTATTGTTCAAAGATAACAATATTAATTTTTGGGTTGGCTTATAAAAAATATGAAAAACATCTCTTTTACCATTCAGCTTTATCATTATTTAAAGTAATACAATGCTTTAATCCAAGATTTATTCAATCTAATATAGCAAATATTAATATAATAGATTATAGCATTATTAAAGAGTTTCATTCTCCTACTGATAATTTGATTCAAGAATAGGTCATTTATTGTGGTTTTAATAAATTAGATGAAAAATTAGTAGACTTAAATATATATTGTCAATGTTTGAAATCGATTTTACTGCGCTGATCATTAGTGACCAATTGAATGACAACGTAATAAATGTAACCAATACTGTGTCAAATGATCTGCAAAATTCTGGATTTTGATGATTTTTAGGATCCATATGATTCGTAAGATTTTTAGGATTTATTGGATTCTTCAGATTATCATGATTCGTTGGATTTTCCTAATTTCCTATATTTCTATTATTTTAATTATTATCGTTATTCTTCTTATTTTTATTATTTTTATTATACTTATTATTATCTTTATAATTATTATTCTTCTTATAATTATTATCATTATTATATTAACACTTGTAGTTACAAATTTAGTTAATTTATAGCATAGCAATTAGTTAACCATAGCAAATTAATTTTGTATAAATAGAATAGCATTTTGCTCATGTTGTAAAAATAACTCTTTTGTAAGTTCTAAAATACTCATGAGTTTCAATTAATAAAGGAATCAACTTTTAAAACAATTACTTTTCCCTTCTATGTGTCTATCATCTAAGATTTGATCGTGAACCACTACACTAACTTGCGATTGAGTTCATTACTTAGAATAAATAAATTCTCTAAATTTCCTAAGTCTCTAAACCCTTAAGTTTGTAAACTAAGTGAAGTAATTTCAAGGAATTCTGGATACCTGTAAGACGAGAGATTCCCTAAGGTTATAAAGTCTGACGTTAAGGAAGTTACTTATTGCAGTAAAGGAATTTAGATATATTATGTGAAGTAATAAGAGAAGATTATTTTCAGTTACAACATTAATAGATTTATTATAACATAAGCATACATTATTACTAGCAGATCAACTTGTCTATCAATATATATATATTGTATGCTTATTCTTTCTTATCTTTGATTAAAATCAAAGGTAATTTTCTCTTTATAAAGTTTATATGTAACTGTGGAATATAAATAATGTGATAACTATATGTACAAGAAATAATTATATAAGGTTTGTATGAAAAAATAATTTAATATAAATTATATAAATTTTAATACTCACATGTAAAAAAAAAAATTATGTCAGGATGCATAAAATCTAATTTTCCTATATTTAATTATATTATGAATTTAAATTTTATTTTTTTTATTTTCTTAAAAGATTTAAATATAACTAAACTTAAAAATAAATTTTACTACTTAACCCTGTATTTCTTATTAAAAAACTCATATTTACCTTCCTATAATTACTTAATAGTAATTATGCTAATAATTTTTAAGATACTATTTTAAAATATTATATACTTTATAACTTGATTTAATTTATTATTATCTAGATTTTGATTATATTTCTTTTAAAAATAAAAATATGTTATATTATTGCACATTATTTATCAATTACTTTTTTTATATATTAATATTTTAAAGGAGAATCTTAACCTGCATCAAATCATCTAAGTTTGATTTGTTCATTATTAGCTATATTAATTATTTATTTAACAATAAATCTTTTTTTTTCAAATTTTTTTCTTTTTATAATTTTAAGTATGAATATTTTTATAAGTAATTGCGTTTTTAATGTTGTATAGAAATTTACAAGGTGTATATCAGTGATTTGGTCAAACTAAATAAATACTGTTCGGGATGTTTAACGTGCAGTCACGAAATAACTGAATTTTATTTTATGCTTCTTCTTTCCACTTTACTTCTTTTATTCACACCTAAGAACACCCAGAAAAGCATTAAAATATTAAAATTGCACATACCAGTTCGTTTCGAAATTATCTGTTAAACGAATTAATGGGTTAGATCGAAATCACCAAAGTTATGCTATTCCTGAAAGATGTTTATCTTGTTAACCGGTTAAATACTTAATTTAACTCCGGCCGAAACTTAATTTTCGGGCAGAATTAAACTTTTTTGTGATTACAAAATTTCGACAAATTTATAGTGCCGGCCTGAGTTAAATTTAACTGGTTAATTAACAGGTTAAAGAATTTTTTAACCGGATATTAACTGGGATTTTGGGTTGGTTCCAACCTCCACCTGAAAACGTACTTGGGAAATTTTTTTTTCCCATCTAGTGAATTTTTTATTCATTTTAAAAAAATAATGGCGTTGAACGTTGGTAATTTCATTTTGAACGATTGGACGTACATTCTTATCGCACTAGTTATAGTGTACATTGTCAAGTATTACTTTTCATGGTATACACGGGAGAATCCAATTCCGGGAACATTTCCTTTACCTTTAATAGGAAATTTACATCAATTGGGACTAGATATGGGGAAAGGAGCGCTCAAATTACAAAAGGAGTATGGGGACATGTTTGAAATATTTTTAGGACCGACAAGAGCGATATTTCTAAGTAGAGCGGAACTTACGGAAAAAATTAATAATCCGATGTTAAAGAATAATGCATTCTCCATTCGCTCCCCTCCAAATCCAGGATTGAAGGAACTTCACCTGACAGAATTCGGTATCATATTTAATAGGGATTTGACCGCTTGGAAATTTAATAGACGTATATTAAACCAAACAGTGATGTCACCAAAATTCTTGAGGAAGAACGTGGAATTCACCAATCAAATTTGCGATGACTTGGAAAAGTATTGGTCTTCGATTGATCCTAATACTAAAGTTGATTTTGCAAAGTGGATTACTTGGACATTATCGTAACCGCTGCAACCGGAACCAAGGGTTGCTCCATGGCCGATTATAATAAAAGCCTACCCAATTCGGTTAAAGTCGACATTTCCGAAAAAATTCTCAATGAATCTTTAAAATTTATTGGTTCAATATTTACGTTTAACTCATGTATTATGTTCTATTTCAGCTTTCCTCCTTTCATCAGGAAGTACGTCCCTGTATTTAAAACGATGTACCATAAATATCATGACAACGATAAATGGTTAAATGCCGAATTAGAAAGGATCATCTGTACCAGAAAACGAAAAATTGAGAGTGCTTCTCTTGATCAACCTATAGAGAGCAACGCGTTAAATTTATTAATCGTTTTAAATACTGAATGGGATATCAATGAGATCACTAGTATCGATTTTACAGAACCGTTGACTAACATAGAAATTTCCGGCATAATAAAGGAAATCTTTGCCGCCGGGATGGATACGGTAAGTATTAAATGTTATAAAATAAATTGAATAAATTGAAAATTTTCATTTCCAATCAACTTTTGCTCATTCCGTAGACCCGAAACGTAATGTGCTTTATCATGTATTATATTAATAAATATCCTCAAGTTAAAGATAAATTGATTCAAGAATATGAGTTGGTCTATGGGGATCTAAGAAAGAAATTAGATGTAACTTACGAATCACTTGATAAATTAGTTTATACCGAGGCCGTGATCAATGAATCCACACGTCTTACACCGGCATTACCAGTTTTGTTTCGTGCCGCCACTTTTGATACCGAAATTGGTGGTTACAAGATCAAGAAAGAAACGACCGTATTTACGAATTATATCGGTATTCATTATCATAAAGATCATTGGATTGAACCCGAAAAGTTCAATCCTGATAGATTTTTAAAGGATGGCCGTCATACGATCGTTAAAAATTCTCATTTGCCTTTCGGAGGGGGTATTCGAATTTGTCCGGGTAGGCATTGGGCCATGGAAAATATGAAAATTTTATTGGTCAGAATTTTGACCAAATTCGAAATTAACCTCGCGGATCCTGAAGCTCCGTTAAAATCATCATATCATGGAACGCAGCATTGTGATGAATTAGATATTTATTTTAAACAAAAAGCGAATGCTTAAATCCTATATTTTTATTCAGTAGGTATATCTTTCTTGTATCGTAAATTTTAACATAGTAACTCGAGCGATTAAACATTTTATGACATGTAAAGTTATTTATTATTTATTATTTTCATTTATTATTATTTAAGGAAACATGATCAAAAAAAAATCCCGATGTTAAGGAAAATGCACATTAGTAATTTTTTCGTTTAAAGAAATTTATTTGACACCGACAATAGGAAATAAAAAACAAATTATACTTAAATAAAAAATATAAATATGTAATTCATATGGAAAATGAAATGCACTGAATTTCATAAAATTACAAACATTCACTTCCTACTATTTATAAAAATGTAGAAAATTGAAAAAAAAATGGGGCTTTAAATCATAAAGAAGGACCAAAAAAGGATCACCGTAAAAATTACCAAGAACGGTGGACGAACTTCTCCAGCGTAACCGCCAAAAAATCGAGTTCACTAATTTACCCTCCAGGGCTGGTATATTTAATTATGTTATTTGTCGGGGGGGATCACCACCCAAAAAAATTCCAAGTCCCAGATACTTAATAAAACCAATGTCACGCCGATGATAAATAACCTAAGCCTTAACCCTAACCCTAACTAATCTAATAATACCAGCCAATCAGAGCCTGGGTAAATTAGTAAACCCTAGCACGTAATCATAGGAGGACTTTCACGTGATTGGCCGATTATGTTACACGAATTTTGTAGTTGATATTATAAATATTTATACATATCACGTGATATACTACGCGTTAATATAATTTAACTATTTATTTAGCATTTACATATATAATAAATTAAAGTATTAAGAACAAAACCTTTGTTACAAAAATTAGTTTAATTTATTGATTTTAATGTAATAGTCTTAGTTTTTGTAAAAAAATAAAATAAAATAAAATAAAAATGTAAAAATTTATTTTTTATTGTAATTAAAATGCTTCTCTGAATAAAGTTGTCCTTTTCTTTTAACAATTTATTACTGTTGAAATTTATGCAATGCCTTCTCTAATGCACACGTTACATATTTTATAGATACACTTTCATCATCGTTATCACATGGGGTATTATTTTCTGGACCTTTAACTTCAGCTCTCTGTTCTTCTTTGAAATGACACAAGCGTTCTAATAAAGTATGACATGTTTATCAATACCGTCTTGTAAGAATGAGAGACAATGCATGCACTTAAATCCACTGTCGGTATAGCAAGATTTGTAATAAGTGTGATTATAAGCTAAAACTTTAATAGGACCTGTATTAAGTAATAAAGAAATAGAACAGTTAGATGCATCGCAATATTGTAATCGATCTGATCTATGTAAAGTATTAAACCCTAAAAGAAGATGGCATAATGAGCTTCTGGCATTTTCATCGCTATTAATGAAATGGAAATTTCATTAGGTTTTTGATGTTTCTTCGAAGATGGATTTGGATTCACAAGAACCTGTAATAGAATTATTAATAGCAGATTATTGTAAAATACACATGTATGGATTTCTGAAAAATATTGCAAAAGAAAACATGCACTTTTCTTTATTAAGAATATAATATTTCGGGAAGAATATTTGTAAATAGCTCACGTAGATGTGTGTGCGATATTTTCTCTAAACTCGTTATCATCCAAATGTAGCCAGTTGATATAACGTCCGTATTTAATGATCTGCTGTGCCTCAGTATATTTCTGAATGCTTCGACGTAAAAAGCTGTGAAATATCTCTACAGTCGAATCTGAAAACTTTGGAAGTTCAACAATAATAGTATCTAATATAGGATATTTGTTTAACTCTCAGTAGAATATATCTGAAAGAAACATTAATGGAGCTTTAGTATAGTTTTTGCGACGGAATTTAAAAAACACTACCCACACATGAAAACATGATTCTAAATAGGCATTAAAATCACTGGATCAGAAAAATACTGCATAGACATCCAGAACTAGAGGAATAAGATTATCAAGCAAGTCTTTTAATGCAAGATATTCAGCATCTTTGCATAGGGGTCCGAATTTTGTTTCAACACTCATCGAAATTTCCTGCCAAGCACTGCGAGAAATCTCTAAAAGAAGATTAATACGCTATGGCTTGGGCTTTTACGCAAGAGGCCTCTGTTCTCCAAATATGTATTTGTATATAGCTGAAAAAAAGGGTCGATATTGAAGGAATATTAATTCTCGACTATTCAATGAGATATACAAGGAACCTATAACAGGAAGGAATGACAAAATAGAATTAGTAATATTTGATTGATCACGATATAATATATGACGAGAAATGGCTGTCCTAAGATAAATTTGTCCAGGCCAATCAGTGACAACAGGGATAATATATTCTTTTTGAATATACTGCTGTAGAAGTGAACATCTACAACAGCATTAATAGCTTTAATGTATACATTTAAACCATGAAGATTATTCTCTTGTAAATCTATGAGAACAACATCTTTCATTGAATAGACAATACGTTTCTCTTTCAGTCTAATGTCATAACTATGTATAGTCAACTCTTCTAATTTAGTATTATCATCAACTGAACGAAATCCCTAACGTTAGTTATACGAAAGACCAAGAAGCATCATAAATCTATTGTTCAAATTTTAGCTTTATCAACTCAGCATCAATCAATCCTAGATTGTGTATATTTACATTCGAGATCGCACATTGTGTAGTGATCAGATTCATTAAAATTGTTGCCAGATGTGCTGCAGTAGAAGTAGTGGTTGTGTTTGGTATCCGTTTCATATGGATACTATGGTAATCATCGATGTTTAAGATTATGGTCTTCTCTGTATATTCTACAAGCGTAGAATTGACAGTTTTAGAATAGTCATCAGAGATGGTAGTCTTATGTCGTGTGATTGTTCAGGTATTATAATTATGTTTAGATCATCAAGAGTATCTATAGAGGAATTAGAAACACCGGTAGAATCCAAGTATATTGTCAAATCTATCTTTGCATCATTAACAAACTTGTTACGAATTCCGCAAAGAAAGTAGCATATAAATAGGAGCTGCTTTTTTGCCTGTGCTCGCAATATTTCATTTTTTGAAGAAGGGTTAGATGAAATATATAACTCAAAAAAAACCTTTAATCTTACATCTTTCCCTTTCATAACTGCATGAAAATCATCAAATGAGTAGATTGTTGATTTTTTCTCCTTATTTTCACGAATATATAAAATTTTAGTTATTATTCCTATTGCCTCAGAGAAGGATAAGACAGAAGGTGGAGGTGGCGGTGATGAAAGTAGAAGTAAAACTGGAGGTGAAGGTGAAGGTGGAGGTGAAAGTTCTATACCAGATTGAGCATATTGTTGAAATGCAAGTGAATGGTTTACCACAATTCCATTATAACAGTCTAAGCAAATCATATCACCTATTTGTAAATAACTTGGCAAAGTATTATTAGTTTGACCCTTTGCAATAACATACTCAGTTACCTTTTTCCATTTTATTAACTTCTAGCTTCGGCATATTGTAATTACATAAGGTCTGATATACATACTTACCTTCTAAGTAAAGTACCTCTAAAATTGGGATTATTTTGGGATTATTTTGCATAGCAAATGTAAACACACCTTCGAAGCTAAGAGAAAAAAATTTTTATATTTTTATATGTGAAACGTTACATTCTCAAAAAGTACTCTAAACTGTATAAATAATGCACCAATCAATTGATTAGGATCAGCCAATCACGTGAAAGTCCTCTCATGAGTTGTAGTTAGGACAATAAAAAATAGTTACAGTTAGAAAATAGTTAGATTTGAGTTTAGTAAAGTTAATTAGTTAATTAGAGAATTTATTATGAAATTTATAAATTGATAAGTTTGCTAACAAGAGCTTATTTAGTTTATTGAATTGTGTGAATCCACTTATATCTTATTAATAAACTATACATTATCCCTATAACATTGATCTGATAAACTCGTAACCTAAAACCCAATTCATTATTATTGCTTTCCTATTATATCAAAGCATTTATATATATTCCCAATTTATAATTATATATCCTCAACATTCCTTGTACTTATAAATTGATATACTGTTAATTCAATAGTTTTATTAACGTAAATAAGTTTTTAAAGTTATTAAATTAAATCATTATCCTTCAGATACCTAAAACCTTGCTATACGTGTTGAAGTCTATTTTTCAGTCAGTAGACTTCATAATCGACTCGTATAACACTATAAAAAGAATTCTTCAGTTATAAAAAGAACTTTTAATTTTTTTTTGCTATATTTACCTTCTGTTTTCTATAAAAAAAATTACAATTTTTTCATTATATTTACTTTCAATATATGACAAAAAAAATTTTTTAATTTTTTTTATTATCATATTTTTAATAATTGTAAGATATTTAAAATAAATAATAATGTTTAAGATATTCAAATACAAATTCAAAAATAGATATACTTTCAATAATATATTTACTAGCTTTAATAGATCTTCTTTAACAATTCTATCAACTTTAACAGTTTTTTTGATAAAGATCAATTGTATGTTATTGTATGTAACAAAAAAAACAAATTATATAATTCAAAGTAAAATATAGTAAAACTAATTAGATATAGCAATATATAATTGAAGAAAATGAGTATGATATTTGTCAAATTTTATTTATAAATTTGCAAAATAAAGAAAAGTGTTATAATTAGTGATTTTTACATGATAAATCTACAGAAAATATAGTGTCATTCTCAAGTTTTTTAACTGTACTAAAATTGAATTACCATAACTATAATAATTAATATATAGGAGATTTGCTAGGAAAATGGGGCTCTAAGAAATTTTTATTAAAATTTTAATTTTTATTACATTTTAATTTTTGATAATATTAGATTAAAATGCAATAAAAATTAAAATTTTAATAAAAATTTATTAGAGCCCATTTTTTAGTAAACCTTCTATATGTCAATTTTGACAGATCAGTTAGTATTGATATATTAGACTTTTAGAACAAAACAAATCCTTGACAAGATGAAAAATATGTTAAAATGT